CATGTCCAGCCCGGTTTGCTTTCCAGAAAGACCCTTGGAAAGCCAGCCCTGCGCGCAGAATCGCCTGCTTGAGGGCCGTCCCGCAGCCTCGTCCGCTGGGGCTTAAATCGGGCAGACCGAAGCGAGCCTGCGTCTGAAGGCGTTGGCCCGGCGCCCGTCAGACAGTGCAGGCTCCCGTCTGTTTGCTGGGATACAGACCTCTTCGGGCTTCGCTGTGTCACTCCCTCTCGTTTGTCACGAAGCCGGTGGGAGCCCGAGGCGCACGGAGAGTCGCGGCGTTAAATAAAAACCTCTGATGTATTTTAGCTCGCATCCGAGGAGGCTGAATCTTGTGTTCGTAACGTCGGCACGAACAGAAGCAGGGCTGGTTTTCCTTGCGCCGCCGGTCCCCGTTGTGTCTGCAGCCCGTCCCTTTCTAGGACGGTTTTGACGAGCTGTGCGGGCCTGCTCCAGTTACGTCTCCCGCGTGGAGGGACAGAGCTTGGGAATCGGCCAGGGACGACTCATTAACGTCCTTTCGGCTTCTTCTAGCTGAAACATAGCGGGTTTTAAACTATAACGTAACGTTCGTCTTACCCCAACATCTTAAAGCGACTTTATTTAAAAAGGAGATCTGAATTACGCCGTCACTGGTGGTAGTTCTTCTCAGCGCTCAAAGAAGCTAAAAGTAGTTGATGAGCAATGAATTTGTACTTGCTTCTTTATACAATTTGAGGGGGCTCTTCCAGAGGAGCCCCTCTTCCAGCATTGAGCCGGGAGCGCGCGGCTCTTACTTTCCTTAAACTTTAAACGCTCGGGTCTAGCGTGCAGGTGTATTAGCTGCTGAGCGTGGAGACAGTCAAGGGGCGTCCGCAGTGGCTTCCCCGTCTCCTTTGGTGATGGGTCGGTGAAGAAAACGTCTCACAGATTTCCCGGGGTGGTTCTGCAGGCTGGGGTCTGACGTTGACTGAGCGGCGTAGTCCTGTTCTGCGTGTTTCGTAGAGTTGCGGCAAGGTTTTTGTAGATACAGGCTCAAGCGTGGGCGTCAGCATTGATTTGACGTGTGCTTTGTTCAGGCGTTTGGTTTTAGCTGGGATACATCTTTGTGTTTCAGGCGTTTTCGCAGCTGGATGTGTCTTCTTTCTATTACGTATGGAATTGTTGTGGTTAGGTTTATTCAGTGTCGGCGACTTGGGCATGGTTTAAAGATAATGGTTCCTTGCTGAAACCTGTACCTCAAGGGCTTTAGGATAAATTAACTGATTTCTTCGGTGTGGAGGGGAAGGAGAACGCCACAAACTTATGCAGGGACTCGTAGTGCCATTAATAAAGGTGATGAGAGAGAACGCTGTGACAGGAGAACGGGGCAGCCGAGCCAAGAACCCACGGAGTTTGATGTTTACGCTCTCCCCGGCTCCCTGTAGTCTAAATAGCTGGAACGTTCCCGACGTCTCGAGGAGGAAGACTGGAGAGACGCTTCTTATCTTGTAAGTGCCCCTCGCTCCCTCTCCTTCGTGGCACTCGCGTTCCCGGCACGGCCAGGTACTGCGGGGTCCCCTTGGTGCTTTTTTTCCCTGCGGCAGTGGTGCCACGCTCCGAGGTAATGCTATTTCGTTTCGGTTACCTCGACCGTGCCGGCGTGATCTGCCCCCCTGGAAAGCAGACCTTCTCCCCAGGCCTAAAATCTGGAGGTTTAAATTTCTTGGCTGAATTTCCACGACTTGTTCTTAAGAGAAATAAGTACTTTTTTGGAGACAGAAGACGACTAGATATTATTTATGACCTTTTTTTTTTCCTTTTTGGCTATCTGCATTAAATAGAAATGAAGATTGAAGTTCATGGTATTAGACAGCCATTTCTTGGAAACTATAATTATAAAAGGTGGTTTTTCCTAAGTTCAAAATGGCTTTTGAAATGTCCTTAATGCTTTAGAGGCACTTAAAAGTTGAATTGCTGACTCCATTTCTGCTGTTTAAAGTAATGCGAAGGTGTAGGACGAGGGAAACGGGAGCGCTGCTCGGGCAGGTGAACAAGCGAAACAGGGGAAGGTCAAGGTAGGAGTTTGTAAACAGGCTTGATCTTTGAGACTTAGTGGATAATTCGCAAGGTAAAGCTAATATAAACTTAAATTATATCTGTAAACTAAGCCGGTGGAGAAACTGGGGAAGGTTTTACCTTCGGCTGTTAGGTATGCTGCCTCGGAGGGGGCGGAGGGCAGACCTGGACAGCAGTGGGGAGTACAGCGTGTTGCTTTTCACAGACTTCCTTCTTAAATATTCCCGTTAACGAAGCTTACGGGCTTTAGACCCTAGCTCGTCTAAAGTGTCTTTGCACCATTAATTAAAATTTGGCTGGCTGTGTGGAAGCAGCCTGTTCTTCCAGGAGAATCAGCCAATCCAAAATGAGAGATCTTACCCTACTGGAAAGAAAAAAAAAAAAGAGGGTTTCGTCCCCCTTGATGTCTTCCATCCTGACTGTGCTTGGCTGTATCCCCTCAGGGCGAGTTTGATGTTACTGCCTGACGGGTCATGTGTCCGGCGGGTCCTCCTGCCTCCCTGAGAGTCACCGCTTCGGAGCGGGTGTTTTTCCGGCGGTTTAACTCCCCGAAACGGTTCACCCCGTGGCCTGATGGTTGCTGGGGGGCTGCGGAGGTTCGTTGTCAGAACAGCGTCGAAGTGCTGTCAGGCTCCACGGCGGGTTGGAAAAACACAGGGTACAACGTTCAAAAGGGTGTGCGATGGAGGAGGCTCGGGGCCTTGCAAGCGCGGGGCGTGTAAAACCAGGAGGTGCAAGCGGTCGGCGGGAGCCTGGTTCCTCGCTTGCTAAATGCGTTTGAAACTTTTATCCAAAATCCGGGCTCTACAGTAAATTAAAAATCTGGTTATTTGAAGTGATGGCCAGCATATGCTAAGTGGTGCTTCGGGAGGCAGGTTGTGAAGACCAGCTCTCTGAGGTGTTATTATATTATTATTGTTGTTGTTGTTGCTATTATATATTATTATTGTCACGATAAAGTTTTCAGAAGTGGTCAGAAATGAAAGGCTGGCAAACGCACTGTATCTGAGCCTCTGCGAGAGTCGCTGTGCTGCCCCGTTTTCATCATCCAGCGCTGAAAGGTGATGGTTATCTAGATTATTGGGACGATTTCTGAAATGATCCCTGCCAACGTTTGCAGCACAGCTGAGGTTTCTTTCATACCTGCCAAGAGTTGCCCTGGGTATCAGCTGTCAGCGCTGCCGCTGTGCTGCGGTGAAGCAATCGCGGGCACCTCACTCGTAGGACAAAAGCTGAGGTGTCGCCAAGGCTGCGAAACATGTGAAAAAACTCTGATTTTGGGCCAGCAGCTCTTGCGCAGCGTTTCCTTTTTGGCAAAAGCCTGCCTACCAGAATTTTTGCTGGACTCTTCATTACAATTGGCAAGGAAAAAATGGATAAGGGTGAACGGCTTTGGCTGCTTTCTTTCCCTTTTAATAGTCTTATTTTGGAGGAGCAGAGTGGGAGAGGACCGCGTGCTGGCAGACCTTTCGTATTCTATGTCATGGGCTGTTGAAAGAGTTCTCAGACGTCTAACTTCCTTTCCGCGGGCTTTAAGGTCATATCCCACCGCCTGTAGACGTATGGCGGGCTGGATAATCCTTCTCTCATCACCGGAGAATGAAATGCTCTCGGTGGCTTTTTGTAGCCAACAAAAATCTTTTTGTCTTTCTTCCCTCCCGCTGTTTTCCCAAGCAGCAAGTTTGCTGAGGGGCATCGCCTTGGAAGGGGGGAGCGCCTGCTCCGAGACACGGGCTCTCGGGCGAGGATGAACGGCCGAGGTGAATCGAAGGGTCTGGCAAACGGGGGTCTGCCAGTGGCGACTGCAACCCGGTTTTGTACAAAACAGCCCTACGGTTTTCTCAGGCTTCGTTGTAAAGGAAGCTAAGGAAGTGGATGAGAGCCGCGGGGCAAAGTTCAGAAACAAAGAAGTGCAGTTCTCGTCCCGAAGGTGATCTCATAAAGATAACAAAACCCCAGTATTTATCTGCCCGTGAAAAGCTGGCTCGACAAAAAACCTGTGGTCTGTTCCACGTCGTATTGCATATATGTAGTGACTTTGCTTGTGGTGATTTGTCTACTATAGAAACTGGATGGCTTCTACGGTGAGCCTGGGTAAAGACACATTGTTGGAAGATGGAATGCCACCTGCAAAAAAGCCCAGGTAAATTTAATTATACTCCAGTGAATTTCTTCTAATAAGAGCTTTTTTCCGTAACCTTGCATTGTTCTTTAAAGAGCATGACACTTGGCACCGAGCCCCAGCAGTTGTTTCGGTTGCTGATCCAAGAAAAGCACGCTGTCTCTAGCCGTGCCCCGTAACTAGTGTTTTCCTGCGGTGCGTGGAACAAAGGCCTCGACACCCAGAACGTACTTCGTTGCTGGGTTTTTTTAACCCCTCAGCCAGGGACGCATGGTTGCACAGAAAAGCTTGTTTTACTGTACTGTCTCCATGGTTGCGACCGGTGCTCACCCTAGCTCAGGTCCTGTCCGCACGTAGGGTCACGTCAGATGCGGTGGTCGTGCTTCTTCACTTGAGTTGGACGGCGGCTCCCAGGAGGACAGGCGATTACTCAAATTAGTATGATTTTGCTGCATGTAAAGGCGAAATAATTCCACTCCGGAGGCTCCCCATACTAATAAGTAGGTCGTCTTACAGTTCTCCAAGCGGGGACCTGAGCATGATGCTAACTTGGGGCATACCCACGCTTCTTTCCATCCGAGGTTGGTTACTGTGGCTGCTGTGATAGCGTGGGCTCAGAAATTAAGGCACCGCCGTCTGCAAACGAGCGGCTAATTCATCTAGGGAGTTGTCTTCCACTAATCTGATTTATTGACGAGTTACGGGCGGGCTGGGAAAGAGTTTCTCTGAGGGAGCCCTGGTCTCAAGGTTGGTCCAGTGACTGTGGAACGAGCAGAAAAGAGGCTGGGAGATTATTTTTAACTTGCCCGGGATATCAGGGTAGAAACAAGTGTATTTATCAGCATGGGAACAGAACGCCTCTTTCAGAGCTGTCGCATAAGACATTAAGACTTGGGTATTTGTTATTATTTTGGATTTCAGTCCCTAGGTTTCTGGTTGTGTTTTTGTACTAGCTCATTAACATGAATACTAATTTATTCTTTGCGGCTGAAGCTTGCAGTCCCAAAATTAAAACCCATTTATCACCACTAACAGTGAAGACCTCCTCAAGAAAGGGGTTAACTCGTCTGTTTTCGTAGGCGGTAGCAGAGGGAAGGCAAAGCTCCATCTGTGTGGTATCGGTTTCCTTCCCCCTTCTCGCTAAATATCACATGTTTGCAGATAAAAAGCATTCCTTCCAAATGAGCTGCCTCCCCGGGCTGCTGCTTCGATCCTCTGGGAAGCTGGGAGCCGACCCCCTGCTTCAGAAAAGCAGCTTGACGCCAGGCAAGGCACGATGGGGAGAAGCACATCTGACTTAAGAAATAATAAACGTCAAATTTAAAAGCACTGTGCAGGTGTAAAGCTAGGAAAATAGGGAAGAGGGGAGGAGGAGGAAGGAGAATATAGCCCCGCAGCTCTTTCATGAGACTCTTCGTATCGTCTGGGCTTCCAAAAGATTGGCCTCGAGCATCCCGCTTACGTTGCAAGCGTAAGAGGGAAGGGATTCCTGGTACAGCAACGTCCCGCTGAGGGTTCTTCTCAGCAAAGAGGGGCCGGGAGGTGGGAAGGTCCTCTCCAGGGCAGAGCTGGGAGGAAGCCTTCACTTCCTTCCTTTTGTGCTGGGATAAATGGGGCTGCTGTCTTCAGGCCCCTGTTTAGCACCTTATTTAAACCAGGCGCAGTCACGGCCGTGTTTACTCCCCGCGTGGAGGTCCGACGCGTGCTGTGTCTCAGTACGTAAAGAGTACGCGTGTGTCTCTACAGCCGTTGACAACATATTCCATATTGCTCACCACACCTTTTCCACTGCCTCCAGCCTTTCTGCTAGCTTCCAGGTAACTATTAGTTACAAGACTTCCCTTATTCCAAATTTTAATTGGATTAGCTTTGCTTCAGAAGTATTCCGGGGCAGTATTGACTTCCCCAGTAACCATCTCAGTAACGGACTCAATTGCCGAATACGTTGCGATTACGTACCTTGTAATCGTGGGCATTTGCGGTGTTGATCCGTGGAGCTGCACGCTGTCTTTAAGGGGTATCGAGCTGCTCCTCTCATCCTCTGTTTATCAGAGGTCCCTAATTGGACCCATTGATTCACAATTTAGGCAGAGGGTACCTCCCTTGTCCTCGGTCTGCATGTTCCACGACCCGAGACAACCTTCCGTCTATGATGGTACCAGCTGCGCTACTTTCTCCTCTTGCAGGAAGCTGTTGCCAAGCCTCAAAACCAAGAAGCCTCGGGAACTTGTTCTGGTGATCGGGACGGGAATCAGTGCAGCAGTTGCTCCCCAGGTCCCAGCGCTGAAGTCTTGGAAGGGGTTGATCCAGGCCCTCCTGGATGCTGCTATTGACTTCGATCTCCTGGAAGATGAAGAGAGCAAACGGTTTCAGAAGTGTCTCCATGAAGACAAGAACTTGGTCCACGTCGCCCACGACCTTATCCAGAAGCTGTCTCCGGTGAGTGTGCTTGTAGCACTGCATGTAAATATTCGGTACCCCGCCCTGAGCGTAGGATTTGGCTTTCGGAAATAGCCAGATTTGGTTCTCCAGCGTGCCCCCATCTCCAACGATTCCTCTGTCTACAAGGAACCACAAGTGCAGTTACTGTGCCGGGTTCCCGAGACATAACTCTGCCGTGGACGCCAGCTTTTGGGTATTTCACTCGGAGTGTGCTGGGGGGGAGTATCCGCCTCAATGCAGTGAGCGCTCTGTGTTTGCCTTGCAAGGACCTATAGCTTTGTGGAGGTCTTTGAGAAATACGTGGGTAGTTTTTCATCGAGTCGTTTGGCACGAAGCGTTAAAAGAAGCCAGGCTCTGATCTTAATCTGTCTCCCCTTCTCAGCGCACAAGCAATGTTCGCTCAACCTTTTTCAAAGACTGTTTATACGAGGTGTTTGATGACCTGGAATCTAAAATGGAAGATTCTGGGAAGCAGCTGCTTCAGTCTGTGCTTCACTTAATGGAAAACGGGGCACTTGTGTTAACCACAAACTTCGATAACCTGCTGGAACTGTACGCAGCACACCAGGGGAAGCATCTGGAGTCTCTTGACCTGACTGATGAAAAGAAGGTAAACGATGATGATGATGATGATTTTTTTTGTCAGGGCTGAGCTGGGACAGCGCAGGACGGTGGCGGCTGCGGGATGTGCCCTCACGCCCGCGTAAGGGGATTGTACTGTTTGTAGTCATTTAAATGACGTTAGACAAACTCCAAGCAGAGGCTCTGACCATTTGGGGCAGCGAGCAGAGGAGTGAAGACGAGTGCTCGTTTCTGAAATGCTGTGCTTGCTGGCTGACATCCGTTGCTCAGGAGGAGCCCTTAAGCCTGGTATTTCTTTGATCTCTGTCCTTGAAACTTCTGGCTTGGCCTTGCTGAAGTACTGCAAGCCTCGCTTCCACGTAAGGCTTGGGTTGACGTTTCTAACCGACGCAAAGCTGACCTTTCCGTTTTTATAACACGCTGCGGAGTGCTTTTTTGTGACGGAGCGTTCTCGGGGCCGTAGCCTTCGAGGCTTCCCTCTTGCCCCGTGTCCTCTTTCCGAAATGGCTGGATGGCTCCTGCTGGGTCACTCCGCGTGCTCCGGCTTCTTCTGCCGCGCTCTCGGATTCGTAGCTGCTCGCTTCACGCAAGCTTCCCTCCTTCTGCCCCAGTCAGGCAGAAAATCAGACTGTGAAACCCTGAGCTCTTCGCCACCTGCCCACCTCATCTTTCTGCCGTGGGTTGTACTGGTGGGGCGCATCTTGTCCTTCTGTTTGCTTGTTAAACACACGCCACACGTAGGTGCTGTGCAGTGCTTGGTCTCTTTCCATCCTGAGTCATTTCTGTGCTGCACGTTTCCCGCATGACCTCTTAATCTGCATGGCTGGAAGTATGTACAGTGTTACAAATAAGCATTCTAATTATCACAAGCTTAAACGAGCCAAGGTCTGCAGGAGTAAACCGAGGGCCTCGGAAGTGGCTTTCTGAAATGAAGGTCAGCTGTTGAGCTTCCTCAGATCTTCTCAGAGCCTCGAGGGGCCAAGAAATAAAACTCTGTAGGCTTGCGAAACATGCTGACGTAATATTTATAGAGTTTTCCCCCTTTTTCTGCTGAGTCCGGTGTATTGATTCGGTCTCTTCCCATCGCGTTCACCGTTCAGCTGAAGTGTTGACCCAAACAAGCGCCGTAGGCTGTAGCCGTGGGCCGTGACGTAGAGGCTGATGGACTCATGACCTCTTGAGGAGATAAGATGGAACATGAGGAAGAAGCTGCCTCTTTGAAACGCTTCCCCAGCATGGTGTTTTTAACAGCGCCGTGGAAGCTAACGTGACGCGCTCGCTAACGTTTCTGGAGGGGTTTGTTTTGCGCAGGTGCTGGAGTGGGCGCAAGAGAAGAGGAAGCTCAGCGTCCTGCACATCCACGGCGTTTACACCAACCCCAGTGGCATAGTGCTCCACCCGGCCGGGTACCAGAACGTGCTGCGCAACACGGAGGTCATGGTGAGGCAGCCCTGCCTTCTCTCCGCGGGGCATACTCTGGGGTCCCGTCCGTTGTCTATATGCATAATCCCACTTCCCATGCGAGCTCCTGGCAGGCCCGTATGTTAACCGGGCATAGCCTCAGCTGAGTTTAAAGACTGGGCTTCACACAGGGTGGTGGGAGAGTCCTTAATTTTGTGAAATAGAAGAGGAGGGATGGATTCTCTAGCCCGCTAACCTGCAAAACCACCTCAGCACGTTTGTGTTGAGGATGACTGAACGATGACACTCCTGAAGAGTCTCCTCAGTGATAAGGCAGATGCTGTCTCTTGTGCCTTGTGAAGATAAGACTTGCCTTGACTGAGAACATCTTTCCCTTTTTTAAAGCGAGAGATTCAGAAGCTGTATGAAAATAAGTCATTCCTGTTCTTGGGCTGTGGTTGGACTGTTGATGACACCACGTTTCAGGCCCTGTTTTTAGAGGCTGTGAAGCACAAGTCAGACCTGGAGCACTTCATGCTCGTACGGAGGGGAGATGTGGATGAGTTTAAGAAGCTCCGTGAGAACATGCTGGACAAAGGGATTAAAGTGATTTCCTACGGAGATGAATACGCGGACTTGCCCGAGTACTTTGAGAGGCTGACGAGCGAGATCGCCATGCGGGGTCGAACAGGTACAGGGGTTACGGGCTGTGCGGGATGGCTGGCTGCGTACATCCACCGTCTCCGCGCTTAAGTCCGGGATCTTGTCATACGCAACGCGGTTCTTGACTGTCACCGTGGACTTTGGAGCGTAGGCAGTGTTAACAGCCCCTCTTCTCCCTGCTGTATTATTCCTTAAGCTTTTTTTTTTTTTGGCCCCCAAAAAATTGCCTGCGAGCGTAGCTGAATTTGAGGTTTACTTTCATGAAATCACTGTATGTTCTTACAGTTTAAACAGCTCTGCTGCTTCCCACGCATCCAAACGTCATTTTTCATGCGCAGCTGCAGTTGTTTATTCCCTTCCTAGTGAAAGGAAAGGGCATTTCAGTCTTGCTATTTGGTCTCGCTGACCTTTGTGCTACTTGGACTGAGCTAATGCTTTAACGTACAAGAGATCTCGCTCATAAATGATAAAATTGGGGAAAAGAAGTGAGTTTGCTAGCCAGAGCGTCGCTGGCATGCGTTCCGAGGGTAAAACCCCGCCAGAAAAGCCCGTCATGCGAGACCACCGCACGCGCACAGCAGGCGGCGTCTGCTTGTTCGCGCAGGGGCTCCCCGCGTCCGTGCGGTCGCCTGGGGGTTGCCTTTCCACCCCGGGTCCTCGCTCTCCCCTAGGTGTGCCTAAGGAGGGACAACAGCTGAACGGCTCTGCTGCTGCCCACGCCCAGATAAAAGGTAAGACTCTCCCGAGCCGAGGGAGGCTTCCTCCTTCCTAACCCCTTTGCGACTCCCTCCACCCCCTCCTCCCTGCCGTATTATTCCTTAAGCTTTTTTATTTTGGCCCCAAAAAAATTGCCTGCGAGCGTAGCTGAATTTGAGGTTTACTTTCATGAAATCACTGTATGTTCTTACAGTTTAAACAGCTCTGCTGCTTCCCACGCATCCAAACGTCATTTTTCATGCGCAGCTGCAGTTGTTTATTCCCTTCCTAGTGAAAGGAAAGGGCATTTCAGTCTTGCTATTTGGTCTCGCTGACCTTTGTGCTACTTGGACTGAGCTAATGCTTTAACGTACAAGAGATCTCGCTCATAAATGATAAAATTGGGGAAAAGAAGTGAGTTTGCTAGCCAGAGCGTCGCTGGCATGCGTTCCGAGGGTAAAACCCCGCCAGAAAAGCCCGTCATGCGAGACCACCGCACGCGCACAGCAGGCGGCGTCTGCTTGTTCGCGCAGGGGCTCCCCGCGTCCGCGCGGTCGCCTGGGGGTTGCCTTTCCACCCCGGGTCCTCGCTCTCCCCTAGGTGTGCCTAAGGAGGGACAACAGCTGAACGGCTCTGCTGCTGCCCACGCCCAGATAAAAGGTAAGACTCTCCCGAGCCGAGGGAGGCTTCCTCCTTCCTAACCCCTTTGCGACTCCCTGGGGGGCCGGGGGCCTCTCAGGCGGGCTTTGCAGAGCCTTGACTTTCCCCGCAGGATGCAGCACTTGAGCGTCAGCCTCGCCCCAGGACCTGCGCCGCGGTGCCGGGGGGGGGGACGACGACGACGACTCCCTAGGACAGGCCTAAGCCGGAGCCGGCAGCTCCCAGGGAGGCCTGCCCGGTTTAAGGCCCCCGTCTAGGGGAGGAGCGAAGCCCACTGCTGTCGAGCTGCGTCCCACACGCGCCGAGCCGAGCCGGCACGCTTCGGGCACGAAACAGAGGCGGACGGACGCCTGGTTTAACGTAGTAATTGTCTTTCTATGGAGGTTAAGCGCGCCTGGGGAGCATGGTCTCCCCGAGGGAGCTGCAGCCTCCTCTAATTTCATACTTAGCGCTTTTGTATTCTGTACTTTCCATTAAAAAACTGAAACTTGAGTGGGTTTGTTTTTTTTTTTTTACTTGAAGCTCTAGTTTTCTAGTCCTGTCTTTATACTGTACAGTATTTTGTATGTTGAAGCTTGTATTAAAGGCCTGTTCACTTAACTTTTGGCTGGTGTGTGATTTACACGCCCTTCCAAACGCCTCACACAGGCAGGAGTCTGTCTGCCCCCGAGGGGGAAATACGTCCTGCCTCCCAGCAAGTTATTTATACACAGAGAACAAATTATGAAGTTTATTTATATAAATTATGTCTCTTAGCAGACAGCATTCAATTTATTGCACTACAGCACATCTGCGATACAGAGCTACAAGACATCGTAAGAGAGTTTTGTATTATTCAGTGTAGCACTTCAGACCGGGATCAAGAGGCACTCGAGGGGGGGGGGGAGAAAGGGTGCAGGAAAGCAGCAAGCAGCCACCATTATCTTCCAGTATTAATATATATATATTTTTTTTTCTCCTTTTTACTAGCAAATAACGCTGAGGCCAGCAGGGAGGAGACAGGCAGGGGGCACGCTGCCTTCCTTCTCCGGCCACCATTAGCGCTATCGGACCAAGCTGCCGCAGCTCTCCAGCTCCTGTCCAAACAGGCGGTGTCCAGGTACCCTGCTCCGGAGTCTCGGTGACGACAGAAACGGGGACCTTAAGGCAATTTAGCATCTCCCCTCCAGCCCAGCGCAGGCCGCCGCCGTTTTTGGTTTATCAGCTTCGGACCCCCCTTTCCCCCGCCTCCCCCCCACAAAAAAAAAAAAAAAAAAAGCCTTTAACCCCCCCTCCCTCCCCCCAAAAAGCACAGCAGGTCCTTGCGCTGCTGCCCCCCTCCCCGTGCAGCATGAACAATACAAAGCTCTGGCTTCAGCCTCCCCGCGAGGGAGCCTGCGTCACTTAAAACAGAATGAAGGAAGCCAGGGGAAGGGCTTTTGCTGGATAAAAGGGGGTTTTATCCAAAAAAACCAAACAAACCCAAAAAACCCCTCGCGCCGGCACCCCTTCATTCTGTTCTGCACTACACGGGAAAGACTAATCGGTAACGGGGTAAAGCATGTTCTTCTCGGACATCTGCAAACAGCAATTTGGTGGTTTTTAGGCCTTCATGAGCGCTGCGACCACGGCCTTGGCGTTAAGGCTTCGCAGATCACAGTAAGTTTGTCCGGTACCAACGAAAACGATGGGCTTGCTCGTGATGTAGGTCATGGAGATGGCGGCGCCGACCTGCCGAGGACAAGCAGCACCCGTTAGCCTGCAAACCCAGCGCTACCTCCTCGGGGTGGGGGGGAACGCGCCGGAGAGCTTGTCAAATATTTGGCCTCCTCGTACTTCTCGCATCTGTACGGTCCCTATACGCCCCGCTGCCGTTAACGCGTATAAACCAAGAGACCTCACGGCCCCGTTTTCCACACGCGCGGAAATCGAACTGCTAAATTTTGTTTAAGTGGCTTAAACGCAAGAGGAAGGCAGGGGACGGCGTCCAGGACAGCGTGGAAGTGCCCCGTGTTCGACAATTCCCGTCTCTCCCGCTCCGGTCACCAGCGGGAAGCTCCGCGCGGAGCCGTCTCGACGGCCTCCTTACCTTGTCATCGATGGTATCGAACTTGGTGAGGACAATCCCGTCGATGAGCCGCGGGGTCTGGGCCATGGAGTGATCAGCCAGGGCTTTGTTGAACTTGACCTGAGGAAAGGAATAGAGCAGAGAAACGCCTTTGTGGTGCTGCCGCTGTCCAAATCTCCGATAAAACCTACAGAACCGGGTTCGTTTCCCCCTCCTCCCTTCAATCTTTTCAGGAAACAAAGCCTCGACACTCACCAGCTGATCCACAGCCTCATTTCCCACCAGCGCTTCCCCAACGAACAGGACCAGGTCGGGAGCGTTGACGGCGATGAGTTTGGCCAGCGCCGTCATCAAGGGAGCGTTGTCCTGCATGCGGCCCGCCGTGTCCACCAGGACCACATCAAAGCCCTGGTTCCGAGCTGGGGAAGACGCGGAGGCAGCGTTAAGCAGGACGCTCCCCCGAAACGGCGTCTCCCGCCACCGGTTATCCACCTACCGTAAGAGATGGCCTCCATGGCAATCCCCGCGGCGTCCTTGCCGTAGCCCTTCTCGTAGAGCTGCACCATGGTCCGCCCGCCGTGGCTCTCCGGAGGGTGCAGGGCGTTGAGGCGACGGGTGTGGGTGCGGAGCTGCTCCACCGCTCCCGCGCGGAAGGTGTCGCAGGCGGCGATGAGGACGCTGAAGCCGTTCTCGATGAGCCAGAACGAGATCTGTAGGTGGCAACAGATCAAAAAAAAAAACCCCAAAACAAACCAAAAACAAAGCCCGTTAGCAGCCACAGTCCGACCTCGGCACTGGTCCCAGAGAGCCAGGAGGATCGTGTCCTACCTTGGCCAGGTTGGTGGACTTCCCGACACCGTTGACGCCACAGAAAGTGACCACGTAGGGTCGGCGATGGCGCTGGGCATCCATGACATCGCGGAGGACATCCACGCGGCGCTGGGGCTGCAGGATTTGCACGAGAGCCTCCTGCAGGGCCTGCTTCACCGTCGAGGTCACCGCTGGGAAGGAGGAGATGGAAAGAGAACCTGTCACGCCTGGGGAACGCTCCTGAGCCCCAAACCGCAAGCGGGAGGCCACACGGCCACTTACTGGTGAACGTGCCCATCACCTTCCCTTCCAGTTTCTTGGCCACCGATTCACAGAGCTGCACCGCGATCTCAGCCGCCACGTTTTTTGCTTCGAGAAAAGAGACGGGGAGAGGGGAGTTAGCGCCGCCGAGGTGGTTACGCACATCAGCGCCAAGGGAAGGATGGAGTCAGCGTGCAGGATCCCCACACCAGACTAGCCCGCTGCCCCCGTTTTGATGCGCCGTCGAGGGCTCCCCAGAGGCCAGGCAGGAACCCACCACGGCTCCTGTGGGCGAGGACGTCCCAAACCGTGGGTGCTACCCCACAGCGGGGCCCACCCGATGGAGCGCAGGGAACCACCTCAAACTAACCCGCTCACAGCGGATCCGGACGTACCGATCAAGTGATCCTTCATCTTCTCCAGTACGGGGTCCATGTCCTCCCTCGTCAAGCTCTTGGAGCCCACCAGGCCTTTCAGCATGCCAAACATGCCCCCCAGGCCGCCCTTCTTCGCGCTGCGGAGAAGCGGAGGAGTTACCTTTAGGTTCGAGGAGCAAGTGGCACAGGGCACGCAACGGCCAGATGCAAGAAGAGCCCACCGCGCAGCTGACAGACACACCAGTTTGTCCCCACGGCATTACCGGTTAGACTGGAAGAGGAGTTACGGCGGATAAATCACGAAGCGCGTGACAAGCGGGGGCTGCAGGAGCCTCTACCTGGGTTTCGAAGGGTTCTGAATAACCTTCTCCTCTTCGGCTTCGTCATCGCTCTCGTACTCAAGGTCGTAGAGGCGGCCAGGCTCCCGATTTCGATCCCCCAGGGCCTGCGAGGGGCGGGGGGAGGGGGGAAAAGACGCACCCTGAAAACCGGCAACCGCTTACCGTCGTCCCCCCCTCGCCCGCTGCCAGCAACGAGTTATCGTCGGCAGCAGAGGCGGGTCCTGAGAGGTCTTGGCCACCAGGGCTTAGGGAGAGGGGGGAAAGACGCACCCTGAAAACCGGCAACCGCTTACCGTCGTCCCCCCCTCGCCCGCTGCCAGCAACGAGTTATCGTCGGCAGCAGAGGCGGCTCTGCAGAGGTCTTGGCCACGAGGGCTCAGCGGCTTGACCCCATCTGGCGCCGCTCGCAGCTGCCGCGGCTGGAGAAGATACCCTTTAGGCAGCGGCTTTACGGGCCGGGCCCTGCAATCCCCGTTTCTAGTGCTTTCGCGGCCAGCCGGGGAGACCGGGCTGGGTTTGCAACGCCCAGCCGATCCCAGAACAACGCGCTAAAGCGGACAGGGTGACCTGACTTTTCCTTACTGTATCGGGGTCAAATTCCTCCACGGGACAAGCCTCCGCGCTTCCGTTGGTAGCCGAGTTACTGTAATCGAGTACTTTGGCATTAGAGTTCCCCAGATCCCACACTCGGGGCTTCTTCCCCTTCTCCTTCTGTGCCTCGGG